TCTAGCACACAAAAAAAAAATCTTTATAACTGTCAGGAACCTGTTTTAGAAAGGATGACTGCTATTTGACAGTCAAATAAAAGGAATGGGTGAGGTCATTCCTACCCATAATTCAAAACCCAAGTCAAATGCCATCTACCTCTCAAAGCCTGTCCTAAACCTTGTAAATTGATGTGAGCACTTTCCTTTCCAAACTCTAGCCTTTAAATATCTCCAGGTACTCATATATATTCGTTAAGTTACAGCTAATGGTGCCTTCGTCAGGGTAGGTTTCATGTCTGTTTTGTTTTCACTACATCAGTGGCGCCCAGCCCAGGCTTTGTTTTTTGTTGGCACTCAGTAAATGTTTTATGGAATGAAGTATCCATCATGGCATTTTAGGAGAATACTTTGCAGCTGGCTTTAATAAACAATCCTTGAACTAAGAGTTTCAAAGATTTAGTCCCAGTCACTTGCTTATAGCTTTGTAGCTGTATGCAGGTCATTTAACTCCTCTGAGCCTTATCAGTCAGATTGGAATACGAGTAACAGGAAATGAAGAGCTGGTGAAAAACTTAGTAAAAGGAACACAACATTAAGGTGGCACTGTCCCTAAAGCCGCTTGCTGCATCCCACATAGTGCCTTACATGTATTAAGCGAACAACTACTTCAGTTTTTCTAATTTAATTGAATCTTAATGGTATATATTTTATTGAAATCAAAGTTTGGCCCTAGTAGTTGACACAGCTTTGTTGGAGCTGGGAAATTTTACCAAGGGAAAATAAAATTATTGCCCTCATGCAGGCTGATTCTCCTATCCTAGAACAGTTTCATTATGAACCAAGGATCAATGAAAGAGGAAGCAGCCTGATGCCCAGGGATTTTCTTAGTACTTCTTCCTGTGCAAGCACATGCTGGACCTGGGAGGCAGAATAGGAACTTGCCACCCTCCATTTTCCATCTTACAGGAACAACCCAAAGGAAAAAAGGGACTTCTGTCAGAGGAATAGAGGTAGGTGTGACAGGACTATCCTGAAGCCAGGATTACCCTGGGGGTGGGATGCTTTGTATTCTGCCCACCCAGCTATACTGTCTTGGGCATCATTGAGTTAAGTTTTTCCTTGTGTGGTATGAGGAAACTAGTAAACCAAACCCAGAAATAAAGAAATTACCACGGAAGGCTTTCCTTAAAATACATTTAAAAGAGTGAAGCCATAACTAGAAGAATGTTTCCAAGGCAGAGCTGGCTCTAGCTTGGACCTCCTGGGTTTAGGGGATGAGAGTGGCCATTTGATTTGAGTTTGAGCATGTTTATTGTAAATAAAACCATTTCCCTGGAGCCTGGCAAGTTTTGCAGAAGGCATACCAAAATGTAATTGAATTGTGACTGCCTCTTAAATTGTGAAATTAATTTTACACTTAACAAATGCTTTAAAAAATAGAGGAACAAGTGGCTTTAAAGTTCAGAGTGTTAATATTTGAAATCTGTCCAATTTAATTAACTGGGTCCCAGAGACTGTTTCCTTTTTCTCTGGTCAGTGTCACTGATCTAACACCCAATTTTCTTCTTTGTTGTGAGATAGGAATTAAATGTATCATTTATTTAGTTGTATTGACCTGAATCATATCTCCCCAGCATACATTCTTATTTCAGGAAATAGGATGCATCCATGTGGAATTTACTCAGTAACTCTTCCTAGTGACATTTGTGTGATCTAATTCAAGGAACTGAAATGAAGGCTGCACATGATTTACTTGCATATGATGCAGCTGTTTTTAGTACTGTATTTACATTTTTAAAAGCAAGAATGCACCTTCTTGATGGAACAGACATGCATTTTTAGATTCACAGACTCAAGAACCGTAGAACAAAGAAGTTTCTTAGAAATTGAATCCAGACATCTTTTTTGTTTTGAAGAGGTAGAAACTTGAGTCCCAAAAGATTTAGTGGCCCTGAACTAAGCTCACAGGGTCAGCCAGTGATAGAACAAAACAAGAAACTAGATGGGTTCCCAATTCAAGCTTCTTGTTTGTCCCAGATAAATATAGGTGTGGTTTACATTGACAATTTGTTATGACATCTGCAGCTTATTAAGACAGTGATAGACAACCTAGCCACTTAGCTACTTAAATCATCTAATTTCTGCATGAGCATATTATAGTATACTATAGTCCCTTTAGCTACCTACCCTTATTTTTCTTTTCCTGCTTATATACTTATTTTTAATCTTGTGGGGTTTTTTAAGCCACCCTAAATCAATTTTTTGAATGATAATATCTAAATAAATACTCCAAGTGATGCTTTGTGTTCATGCTAATTACTCATGTTTCCATAGTGTCTATGGTATGTCAGAGATCCTGGCAATGTTAATTATCCTAACAGTATTTCATCTTTTCCATCTATCAGAAGTAGCAGTAAAAACAAATTTCAAGTGGAATGCCTAAAAAATATATCATTCTTTCATTGCTTCACAAGGTAAAGACACTGTAATCCCCATAATAAAATCCTTGAAATTGTTTTTATCAAGCCTAGAAAATAACTTAGGAGTGTATTTAGTATCTTAAAATGAAAGACTGGCTGATGGGATTGAAATATTACCTAGGTATTTAAAAGGGCATTGTGATTTATGGTAAACTGATTTTCAACAAGGCTGCCAAGGGCATTCAGTGGGAAAAGAAAAGCCTTTTCAACAAATGATACCAGGACAACTGGCTAGCCACATGCAGAGGAATGAATCTGGAGCCCTACCTCATACCATATTATACAAATTAACTCAATATGGATCAAAGGTCTAAATGTAAAAGCTAAAATTATAAAATTTCTAAAAGGAAATGCAGGTGAAAATCCATGTAATCTTGGGTTAGGCAATGGTTTCTTAGATATGATATGAAAAGCACAAGAACAAAAAAAAATAGATAAATTGGACTTCATCAAACTAAAAACTTTGTCAAAGGGCACTATCAAAGAAATGAAAAGATAATCTATAGAATGGGAGAAAATATTACAAATTATATATATATGTATGTATATATGAAAAGTGGGCAAAGGACTTGACTGGACATTTCTCCAAAGAAGATATACAAATGACCAATAAGCACTGTAAAGATGCTCAACATCAAAACTGTGATGAGGTATCACTTCATACCCACTAGGATCCTAGCATATAATTTTAAAATGGACAACAATTATTGGTGAAGATGTGGAGAAATTGGAACTCTTGTACGTTGCTAGTGGAAATATAAAATGGTACAGCTTCTGTGGAAACGTCTGGAACTTCTGTGGCAGTTCCTCAAAAAGTTAAACATAATTGTCATCTGACTCAGGAATTCTGCTCCCAAGCATATATCTAAGAGATTAAAAACATATGTTCACACAGATATATATACACAAATTGTAGCTTTATTCAGAATAACCAAAAAGTGGAAACAACCCAAATGTCCATTAACTGAGAAATGAATAAACAAAATGTAGTATATTCATAAAATGAAATATTATTCAGACATAAAAAGCAATGAAGTACTGTTACATGCGACAACATGGATAAAGGTTGGAAATTTTATGCTACATGAAAAAAGCCAGACACAAAGGCCATGTATTTTATGACTCCAAACATCCAAAGTAGGCAAATCCATAGAGTCAGGAAGTAGATTAGTGGTTGTCAGGGGATAGAGGGGAGATGTGAATTGGGACTAACTGCTAATAGGTACAGGGTTTCTTTCTGAGGTGATAAAAATGTTTTGTGATTAGATATTGGTGATGGTTACACAACATTGTGAATATACTGAAAACCACAGAAGTGTATACTTTAGAATGGTGAATTTATGTTATATGAACATCTTAATGTAAAATACTGAAAGTTTTTTAAAGCATGTATACCCGACGATAAAATAAAGGTGTTATAAAAGGTTAGAGACGGTTATGAAGGATTTCTAATCATAAGGGAGTGAAATAATTTGCTACCCCCAAAATCCCCTATGACTGATAGAGAACTTTGTCTACTCTGGCTTTCAGAGGATTAAGAGAAAGGCTCTGTGGTGTGGTTTTTACAGCTTGACAGGAAGAATCAGTCATTAGATGACCCTCTGCTCAGAGTCAGGGAATGTCGTTAGAGATGTTATGCAAGTTGAGATGATAAAAATAAATTACCTCCACTGAGTAAATCACCTGTAGTTCAGAAATAGCAAAAAAGTTGGCAAACTAATAGAGCATAGGGGTAGGACTGATGGGATGTGATTTTTCTTTTTTAATGTAGAGTCCCACGGCAGCTCTCCCTAGATCTTGTGCTAAAATAAGAGCATTTTCACACATTTTAATTGCTCTGTGATAACAACAGTGTGAACTCCATCCACAAACATTTATCTACTTAATTTTGCTCTAATTTCAGTGTAGCAAGCATTTACCTTGTAAGTGGGAATAACTGTCCATTTAGTAAAAAGAAGTCCCTTCTCACATTGCTAATCCTGTTGTGTATTTCTGTAATAAAGAGTAATAACAAATGACCTTTTATATTTTTCCATTTTTAGCTTACATTTATAGAATACCATGTGCAAAGTAGCATCTTTATGAACTGGAACCCTAATTGCTCCTTAAACATTAGTAAAAAATATTTAAAAATTGTAGAAGTTAAGGTTTCACAATATTTCTGATCAGGATTTTAAATGAGGCTTTTTTGCCTTTATAAAACTTGATAGTACTTGGTGCTATAATGTTCATGATAAACCATATAGAACTGTCTTTGAGGTACATTTTTTTTTTTTTTTCGGTACGCGGGCCTCTCACTGTTGTGGCCTCTCCCTTTGCGGAGCACAGGCTCTGAACATGCAGGCTCAGCGGCCATGGCTCATGGGCCCAGCCGCTCTGCGGCATGTGGGATCTTCCCGGACCGGGGCACAAACCCGTGTCCCCTGCATCGGCAGGAGGACTCTCAACCACTGCTCCACCAGGGAAGCCCTGAGGTACATTTTTAAAGTGAGATTTATATAACTTAATAGCTATCTAATTTTTTCAATTATTTTCCAGACCTGTCATTTACTCCATCATTTATAGTGATGCTACAGGACAGAGAGGAATGGATAAAAACATTGGCGAGCAACTCAATAAAGCTTATGAAGCCTTTCGACAGGCATGCATGGATAGAGATTCAGCAGTAAAAGAGCTACAGCAAAAGGTATGTGGTTTTGGTTTTGACAGTTATTTACCCCGGTAAATGGAATTTGAGTCTTGTGCAATGGAAAATATTATATTGTTAGAAAGTGCCTTGAAGAACTAAAACACAGTGATATATTAATGGATGAAATTTGAGATTTTTATTTGCTATCTTTTTTAAAAACATTGTGACCTGTGGGAAGAATTCATTTTAAGGTGATTGTATTGAGGAAAGATAAGAATGTTATCTTCCATAAATAATTTTTAAATAAAATGACAAACTGAAAGTCAGAAGTATTATTATCTCAGCTAGTTTTATTTTTGTGTGTTTTTTTTGTTTTTTGTTTTTTTCGATACGCGGGCCTCTCACTGTTGTGGCCTCTCCCGTTGTGGAGCACAGGCTCCGGACGCGCAGGCTCAGCAGCCATGGCGCACGGGCCCAGCCGCTCCGCGGCATGTGGGATCTTCCTGGACCAGGGCACGAACCCGTGTCCCCTGCATCAGCAGGCTGACTCTCAACCACTGCGCCACCAGGGAAGCCCTTTTTGTGTTTTTTTTTTACATGGTTATTTGGCTGGTGCGAGGACTGTACAAATCTTAAAATATCCTGGAACTAAATTTGTTATTAATTTATAATAGTCTTCCATTCTTTAAATGTAACAGTTAAAAATCAACTATTTCAGTGAAATCTTTAGTGACTTACCAGAATGTTCAGCTTTTTAAAATTACTCCTGTACACATAAAACTTCTGTTTAGTGCTTTCAGTTTCAAAAGAAAGTAAATTGGAAGAAAGGTATACCCAGGCAAAAATTACTTGGTCTAGTAGTTACCGGGCACATGTCTGTTATTGGTCCATTATAAGGTTTTCACTGGTCTACAGCAAAATGAGAAAAATGAGAATAATGTAATGAATTTCTTACAGTGCTAAATTTATTCCATTTAAAATTCTGTCCTTTATTCTGATATTGTTTCCATGTTTCTGTACTGTCAGAATAAAGAGCAAAATTTTATTAACATATATATTCATTGAATGATGATCATAGAGTTTTTTGTTTGCTTGTTTAATATCATTACTTAGTGTTTTGGGGGTCCCCAATACCACCCACACATTCTGCGATTCTCTAGAAGGACTCACAGGACTTAGTATACTGTCATACTCAGAGCTAAGGTTTATTACAGAGACACTGTAAAGATACACAGCCAGATCACTAATGGAAAAAGACATCAGGTGGAGTCTAGAGGAATCTGTGTGCAGGCTTTCTACGCTCTTTCCCTCCTGTGAGAGGTCACACAGAGTGCACCCTCTCCAGCTCAAAAATTCACTCAACACACTTGCAGTGTTTTGGCATGGGGAACTCCATTTGAGACTCAAGAGTTTGCGTTTTTTTTAAGGGCTGGTTACATAGGCACCGTCTGTCAACAAAATTTCAGATTCTCAGAAGGAAAGTAGTTATTCACCATAAATCTCATGGTACAGTCTAAGTAGGCTGGCACAGCATTTAGAATCTTATCACTTAAACGTTTTCAAAAATCAAGTTCCCAGATGCTGTCAAGGGCCAGCCTTGCAAATAGGCCTTTCTGAAGATAAACAGCCTAAGGCCTGCTATGTTAAATTATTCCTGCATGGGCAGTTGAAAGTGGAGGATCTTATGTTGGTTCCCTCAATTAAAAAAAAAATTTCCTAGCCTGTGAAATTCTGAAGTCTAAGAAATATGCTAGCCGTGCGGTTCTTAGTTTCTTCCATAAATATAGGAACTACACAATTCCCTTCCTCCTTTCCGTTTGATACATCTACTATAAAACTAGCTGTTATACATACTTCACTGCATTCCTCAGAAATTATCATTATTCTTTGTGATTATCCTTTTGATTTACTAAAGAATACTCACAGTTATATAGGTAAACTTAATGGGCTAGATGTCTTCATTAGGGGTGCACAAGAGAAACAGAGATGGGATAATGACAGGCACTTTCTCAATTTTTTTTTTGTGTGTGTGTGTGTGTGTGTGTGTGTGTGGTATGCGGGCCTCTCACTGTTGTGGCCTCTCCCGTTGCGGAACACAGGCTCCGGACGCGCAGGCTCAGCAGCCATGGCTCACAGACCCAGCCGCTCTGCGGCATGTGGGATCTTCCCAGACCAGGGCAAGAACCCGTGTCGCCTTCATCAGCAGGCAGACTCTCAACCACTGCGCCACCAGGGAAGCCCTTTCTCAATTATTGAAATGAAGTTTGGATTTCTTTTCCTTTCCAGTTCATGTATAAGGCATAATCACCTTTTAAAAAACAAAACAAAAACTCCCAGCTTTTATTCTTCTTATTTTCCCATTAGGTTCATTAAGAAACTTCAGCAATACTGTACTTGCTCTAGGAAAGTTAGGAAACACAGAATTAGGGAAAAGGAATATTGAGATATTCTTGGGTTAAGGCAGACACAGGAATTTCTCTGTCTCCTCCTCTTTCTGCACTGGCCAGTGGTAAGCAATTGAAAACTTTTGTAATTTAATCTCTTATCTGCCATGGAAGAAACCTTCACTCACAGCAGCAATTATCTTAAAGAGGGGAAAGGGAAATATTTTTTTACATTTCTCAAGAACAGGGGAAGAAAAAATATATACTATATATTTTTATATGTTAAACTCTAAATATTTTGATTTATTTAAGAAACATTATTGAGTGTCTGCTGTGTACTGGGTCCTTAATGAGGTTCTAAGAATACTGAAATAAAATATAGTTTATGTCCTTAAGGAAATTTCAATAAGTAAAAAAGGAAGATCAAGTTATTACCATAGCATACTAAGTGCTACAGTAGAGATCTGTACAGGATAATATGTGAGCACAGAGAAGAGGCATCTATCTCAGTCTGGAAGGATCAGGTCATAAGCCCACTACTAAGCCCAACCCTTTAGCTAAGATTAGGAGGAGTTGGGTAAGTTAGGGAAGACGGATCCTGCAAGCAGAGAGAGAATAGTATATAATAAAATCTTGGAAGTGAGGAATGTATGGTATGTTTTATGTACCATAAGGTGATCCTATGGCTCCAAAAGGAACTATAGGGCAGTATAGGAAAAGAAGCTGTGAAGGTAGATTAGAGCCCTATCTCTATGATTATGATTATGTAGTTTGTACGTATTCTTATTCATTCAAAATTTATTGAAGAATTTAATATATGCTTTAGAAGGGTCTTCCTGACAGTGGGATAGGGGATAAATAGGATAGAGAATAGTCTGGAATTCACTCAGCAAACATACATTGATGCTAAGCAATGGTCTAAGATCCAGGAATATAAAAATAAGTGGCAACCATCAAGTTGCATTTTAATATATATATGTATATATATATTTCTATTAATATACATATATTAAATACATATGTACATATGCTTCAATTTACAAAAGAAAGAATGAATGCAATCATTTCAAGCGATCAAAATGAGGACTTAAGTTAAGCATTAGGAATAAATTTGGGAATAAATCTAAGATTTATTTAGGAGATAGAATGAAAAGCAGGTGGCATATGAATGTAGGCCACTTCTGAGGGTGATGGCATAGATTCTAAGATGATGCCCATGTATCTGGAAGAGAAGACTGGATTAATAGTGGTGCTGATGAACTGAAACCAAGAATGGAGAAGAAGGTTCAGATTTAAGGGATTGGGAAATAAGATGTATAATTAGATTTTAGTTATTAGGTTTGGTTACCTATGGGACATGCAGGTGAAAATGTCCAATGGATGGTTGTAAATATGGACCTAAAAGCCTAGGTAGAGTTCTGAATTGGAGATTATAGATATAGGTTATAGAACAACAGATTTCATCATAGCCTTGAATGTTTATAACATTTCTGAGTCATATGTATGGGGTGAAGGAATATATGAAGGACAGGAGGGTAAGAGGAAGAAAATAAGGAAAACCAGTTGGTTGCTGGAGATTCAGAAATAGGTTAAGGAATTTACTATGAACAGAGGAGAAACACCCATTCCTCTAAGAATTGGAGGGAACAAGAGAGAGAAATAGCTGCAAGTGAAAATAAGTTTGCAGATAAGAGGTGGAGGTGGCAGGAAGTTAAAAGGGTTATCATGAATCCAAAAAAAGTCAAACCTGTAAAAAACAGAGAGTAAAATGGTGGTTACTAAGGAATTGGAGGGGGGCAGATAAGACTGACGGTGTTTAAATTTGTAACAAGTAGTAAAGCTAGAGATCCAATGTACGGTATGACAAATATAGATAATAATATTGTACTATAATTATTAAATGTAATAAATATGACCACAACAATCCTATTACAATATATAAATGTATCAAAGTAACACACTGTACACCTTAAACTTACAAAATGTTACATGTCAAATTCATTCAATTTAAAAAAATCAAATAAAAAATAGTAGGGTTATCATATGAGAGTCCATTTTTTTCCTGTGAAATACAAGATAAGGTCATCTACTGAGTGAAATGATTTTAGAATATTCTGAAAGTGGTAATAAAGACTTGAAAGCTTCAGTTAAGAAAAGAAAGAAGAAAAATTTTGCATCCAGCCTTTACCATGAATTTTTGGTGGTGTCAATCCATGTTTGCCGGTTATTTTTTCATCAAGTTTCTTGATATAGAGGTAGAACAAGTGGGTAGCCAAATCCAGGATTAAAAGATTGTAGAGTTAAGAGTAGAAGAATTTCTGGTTAGGTGGCCAGAAAGTGCATACTAAAGCAATTGAAATTATGTGCTTTGCGATATAAGCTAAAATCAGAAAGAAGCTAATCTAGGAGGAATCTAACAGACTAAGAACAAAAAGAGGGTTTATGGCTGAAGTGTTCATGAAGTGAGAGAACAGATATAGAGGGAGTAGAAGAATGTGAGAGTTCAAAGGATAGGTTATTGTCAATGAGTAAATATTGATGTTTAGGATCTTCTGTCTTCATAATGAGTCATAAAAGTGGGTAGCTGGAATGAGATTGAGGAATTCAAGAAACTCTAAGACTAGAGCAATTCTCCTAGAATGGTGGTAGTTTTAGGAGCATTCAGAGAGACTG